AGCAGGAATTGTCCTTTCAGCTTTTCATGTGTTGCTTCCAAAGATTATCTCAAAGTGGGAGGGAAAATCCCATCTGAGTGTTGTCCCTTCTTTCAAAAGTGTCTGGGAGGGTCCAGCAAAGCAAATAACAAACTTTGAGTTGCAGCTCACACTCCGCTAGGTTTTATCCATTTCAAATGCTGGTGGTGTACTGTGTTTCAAATCCTCTGCATTATAACCTTCTTTTGCCTTCTTGGCACAGGCCTTGGGAGCTGAGTGACCAGCCCAGTTCTTGCTAAAAGGCAGTGACAAAATTTCTGGCTGTTTCCCCAGTACAGCTGCTCCCAACTGCTGAACTCCAGAGCCTTGCAGCAGGATGCCTACTGCTCTGAGCTAATTGAAAACTTGGTTTTGACATACTGTTATTTTGCAGTATTCACAATTTTAAACCTTCCTAGCTGTGTTTTTGACCAGTTTGGAAGTGTCTTACCACAGGCACCCCACCAGACAGAATGGCTTAACTACAATGTATGCATGCAGCTAATGCCTCTGGCACCCACAGGCCAGAGCAGCTGAGGTGTTTGGGCTACAAGGATGGTGAAACAGGCTGGGGTGGGAGCAAAAGGAGTTGCAAAAAGCCCTAAACTTGTCTGGAGAGGAACTTCAATTGTCTTAATTTCTTTTTTTGTTGTTGTTGTTGGCTCATTCTGTGGCACTCCGTGTACCCATGCAGACTGGACACACCAGGACCCCAGAATGAGCACAGTCTAGGGTGTGAGGCTGTGTCAGATTTTCAGAGGGTTGGGGCTGACTGGGTGAGTTCACCCTTGTTTTGCTGGGGCTGTGGTGCAAGTGCAAGCTGTACATGGGAAACGTGACCCTCTTTGGGCTGTGAAGTGGGAGATCTTGGGCAAAATGAACTTCAGCCAGGACGGCCAGGAGCAGGCTTTTGATGGTGCCTTGAGGCTGCGCTTGCAAGTTCGCATGCCTTGACCATGATCCTTTTGCAGCTGGCACACACAGCAGGCTCCACAGCTGCCTTCCTGCTGCCTTCAAAAAGCTGCAACTTCGCCTGGTCTTGTACGCATTAATTAGCTGCGTTTGGCACACGGGGTCTGGGAAAGGCAGAGGAGCCATGCCACTGCACTGCAGCGAGCCTTCTGCCGCCCTCAGAAGCTCCCTCAGCGGCCTTGGTCGTGCTGAGGGGGACCTTCTCACACGTGGGGGTTTAAACCAGGGAGACCACCGTGCTTTGGGAAGACTGTGTCAACAGGTGTGTTATTCCCCTGTGGTGCAGGACGAGCCTGGTGTCCCTGGTGGTGGTCTGGCGGGGAAAAGCGGGACAGGGACTGCAAAGCCCAGGTGGTGGTGGGGGCTCTACTTGGCTGCTGGCCCCTCTGCAGTGGCTCTAAGTCAGCAGCCGCAGGGTGTCCGAGGCACAGTGCTGTTGGAGGTGTTTGTGGGGAGTGTGTGGCTTTCTGCCACCCCACCCCTTCTGGTTTTTTCCAAAATATTGCAGGCATAAGAGGAAAATGCAGTTCTGAAGTGACTGTGAGTATCACACAAATGACTTTCAGCACACTCACTGATGGCTGTGATGACAGCAGGGCCTGGAAGGAAGTAATGATTTTAAACTGAAAGAGAGTAGATTTAGACTAGATAGAAGACTTTTTTTTACAATGAGGGTGGTGAAACACTGGAGCAGGCTGCCCAAAGAGGTGGTAGAAGCCCCATCCCTGGAAACATTGAAGGTCAGGCTGGATGAGGCTCTGAGCAACCTGATCCAGCTAAAGATGTCCCTGCTCCCTGCAGGGGGGCTGGACTAGATGAGCTTTAACTTTCTGACCCAAACTATTCTGTGATTCTATGACTGGTCGGGCAGTCCAGTTTGGGACCAGACACAATAATAAACAGGATTTTAGCATCCCAAGGTGGGAAGCAGCATTTTTTAACACTAGGGAAAAGCCATGGAAAGAGTTAAATGAACCAGAGGGGGCCTGGGCCACACTGCAACCTTGGCACATGATCTTCACTGAAGGCAGAAACCTGACTGTCAGTTACTTAGGATTATGAAAGGCTAGTAATTTGTGGGGTGATTGGACTTACGGTTCTGGTTAGGCTCATCTTGTCAACAAATAGGCACATTTTGAACAGTAAGACACCTGCCTTTCATGCTGAAAAGCTCAGCAGTTACGCTGGGCCAGGCAGAACAAGGAGCATGTGTCAGCACCTCCACACTGTAGAGGGGATCTCTGCACAACTGGAAAAGCCCCAGTGCCATGGGGGGGGGGGCAGGGCGCAGGAGCGAGCCTGAGAAACAGGGGCTTGTAAGTGTGGGTGGCCGTGGGGTCTAGTTGTGTGATGGCAGGGCAGCCAGGCTCCGTGCTGCTCCTGTAAAGCCTGCTCAGCTCCAGGCTTCGTTGCTGGGAAGGTATTTCATCCTGTTTCAGTTTGTGTGTGAGATATGGCTTCTGTGGGGTGATATTTCTCTTTAAAGGAAAGGGGTATTTCTCTAAATGTTATATTTGTATAGTAAGGAAAAATAATGTGTAATTTCTTTCCTTTCTTAGAAAACACTGTTGGATTGTGGAGGTAGCATGAGTGGCCTCATCTGTCTCTCTCTGCTTGCAGCTCTTATTTATCACGTTGATAAAAGATAGGCTTGGTAAATCCTTGTGAGAGAGTGACTATGGCCTGCTAGTCTTTCATTCATCCTCAGAGTGTATCTAAACTTTCCACGGATATTTAAAACAACGGCTTTTAATCTCTAACACAGTTAAAAGGCTTATGTGTTCCTGCTCCAGAAGTGAGACACACTGGCGGTGTTTCTTACTTATTTTATTTGTTTGCCCCAGCTTGAAAACCAAGTAGTCGAAAGAAAAGTTCTCATTTTAATATTATGCGGGACTGAATTGCTTCAGTGGAAGCAAAAGCTCTTGTGCAGTTACTGATGCGTAACTCTGGTTTTTTCATATTAGTCTGTCCTTTGGCTACGGGGAATCTCATCTGCATATTTTTTCTAAATGTTGACAAGGTTCATCAATCCCTGAGCAGTGATTGGTTGATTAATCAAAGTCGTTAACCAATCAATGGGTAGAGGTTTGCCTAACAATGTGATTATTTCTGAAAAATTGTGCCTATTGGAATTGCAGACCTTTCTACTTTGATTTGCTTCCATAATGCCTCTGCTTTAACCGCCTCCCTTGCTCATATTTTCAGAGTACTTAGTAACAACAAAGATGCTTTGTAACTCCTCTATCTTTCCTTTTTCTCTGTGGCCTGTGTGGGGGAAAAAAAAAAAAAAAAGGTAACAAGCAGTAAAACTTAAAAATTGTTTGCATACAGAAAAGGGTAAAAGCACGGGAAAAAATGAAGGAGAAAGAGAATGTTTTGGGATTTTGTTTATTTTTCCCAAAGCTAAAAGTGTGATCTGAAGCTCTTATTCCTCTGTTTTCTTTCCTGCGTTCCCTCCAGGACAGTTTGCATGATTTTCCTCACATTGTTGATACTGTACCAGTTCTGACCCCTCACTAGTATATTTTGGTTATTGGAGAGGAACTAGCTTTCAGATCTGCATGAATGTAAATTGAAGTGAGAGAAGGGAAGATGACTGGAAAGGGAAAGTAATTTTTTCTAGATTTGGGGTTTGTAACTTCAATTTGCAGTAAGTTCTCTGTTCACATATGTGTGGTTTTCCTCTCCTCTCCCCCATACTATAATGGCATGGTAATAACTGGGTATATTTTTATGGACAGCAGCTTAAAAATGTGCCTACTTTGTTCTTCTATTTCTGTTTTGGAAAATAGTGGAGAATTCAACCTGCTCGGTAATGTTTTGTTTCATGAGGTAATGGGTCTGGAGATGCAAAGCTAGAATGCCATGGGTGTTAAGCAGTGCGTCCAAAGGCAAGTGTTCACAGCTCTTAGGTCAGAATCCAAATTATTGCAGTAAACAGTACTACACGCCTGCTGATTTTGGACCATTTGGGGTATCCATTTGCGACTTTCCTTCTCATCCAAAAGGGCTAATATTTCCCTTGAGCCTGGGATAAAGGGAAGCTGAAAACTTTCTTTGGCTTCTGATTCTGGTATTTAGCTACGGTAGACTTTGCTTAATAATTCTTGTCCCTGCAAAGATGGGGTGTGTGAATCACAGCTTGAAATTATTTCTGCTTCCATTTTCAAGGCCTTGAATGTGAAGGCAGTGATTGAGCAGACATCTTGCTTCTGTCCTGCCTTCATACATCTTCCAGAAATAGGATGTGCGATTCTTTGTGTTTGACAAGACACATCTGCACTGATTTTAATGGAGTGTAATTTGAAACTAGTTTAGTTAAACCAGGGCAGATGGCTGCAGGACTGTGTGTAATTTCTTCGGTGTAAGGTTGTGGTGCTGCTGCAAGATTATTAATCTGGTTTTAGGGCACCTCATAACAAAAAATAAAGGTAATAAGGTTGTCGTATAAATCTCAGTGTTGAACAAGTACAAATTAATTCTGCCCATTAAAAGTGTAATGAAAAAGAATCCAAAACTCTGTTTCAGAAGACTTCATCAGATTGGCTTACTGCACAACATGAAGATTATATCTTATATATTTGGTTATTAAGCATTAGCTAAAATTATGCAGTCATGCCAGATCCCATCAGGCTTGCACTGACAGGTGATCATATATTATGCAAAGCTAATATCAACGAAAATGGAACCAGAGCCATGAAAATTTGCAAGGGTTTAACTAAGTTGGTTTAAGTAATCAAGACCTGGTTGTCTGTAGACAAGGTTTTTATTTACTGCTGTAATACGCTTATTTTACAGACGGCATCTATGCCTCTCATGTTTCTTTGCAGTAGTTCAGCAAACAAGAATAGAAGTTGGAATGGTTGCCAAAATGTAAAGTTTAGTCTAAAAATCAAAAATAGAATGAGAAAGCTGACTTCAAATTTCTTTTCCTAATTATTCATACTACAAGCTTTATTTTGTAAGATATTTTAACTCAATCTGAGAATAAACATATGAGCTATCTCACCAGGACCTTAGATTGAACTGCAGAACTCCCCCCTGCCTAGTTAGGTCTTGTTGCACATTAGCAACACAGACATTTCTGAGGAGGAAGAAAGAGGCAAAGATACTATGGAAAGTGTTCTCTGTTTTCAGCTAACCTTGCTCATGATAGACTTGCTTAAGCAGGACCAGAGGAGGGCCATGGAGATGATCAGGGGGCTGGAGCACCTCCCCTGTGAGGACAGGCTGAGAGAGTTGGGGTTGTTCAGCCTGGAGAAGAGAAGGCTCCAGGGAGACCATATAGTGCCCTTCCAGTGCTTAAAGGGGGCCTGCAGGAACAGTGGGGAGGGACTCTTGGTCAGGGTGGGTAGTGATAGGACAAGGGGTAACTGTTTCAAACTGAAAGAGGGGAGATTTAGATTAGGTATGAGGAAGGAATTCCTTTCTGTGAGGGCGGTGAGACACTGGAGCAAGTTGCCCAGAGAAGCTGTGACTGCCCCCTCCCTGGCAATGTTCAAGGCCAGGCTGGATGGGGCTTTGAGCAACCTGGCCTCGTGGAAAGTGTCCCTGCCTGTGGTGCAGGGATTGGAACTAGGTGATCTTTAAGGTTCATTCCAACCCAAATCATTCTGTGATTCGATGATGAACAGGTTGAATGGGAAGTCTGCAGGCTGGAAAGCACATCTGCTTAAAACATGTGATGAGTTTTCTTTCTTTATTTATGTTAACAGTGAGCACATTTGTGGAAATCATGTTTTCTTCACAATCTGTTTGTTAAATTGGGACACAAACCCGAGAATGCTTGTGCATGAGAGTAATTTTCTATAAATGAGTAGTGTCACTGAGTTCAGTGAGAGCAGTCACGCACAGAATTAAGCATATGCATGAGAGTTTGCAGAAATTTGGCAAGTATATTGTCATCATGAACAGATTGCCCAGCTTTGCTTCTAATGCAGCTATAAATTCTTGGCTTTGTCCTATTTTGAGTAGCCCTCATTGTAGGAGCCATAAGCTGTTCTATTGTGCTAAGCCTAACTGACGATATTTCTCTTATTTTGTCATAGCAACAAGAGCAAGATCCCACAAATCTATACATCTCAAATTTACCCGTTTCCATGGATGAACAGGAACTGGAGAATATGCTGAAACCTTTTGGACATGTCATTTCCACCAGAATATTAAGAGATGCTAATGGAGTCAGCAGAGGAGTCGGCTTTGCCAGGTGAAACTTTTACTTTTTTTTTGATTCATGCGCATTTTCTGGCTGTGATCCTTTGCAAATGCTGTCTGTTGCATAACTTTGAAGCCTCATAGCTGTGGAAAATGCAGAGCAGCACCTGTATCAGATTGTATGTCTGTTCTTTCCACTGAGCTGAAGAATACCAATGCAGAAGGATGTTCATTTCATTGCTCTAAAACTGTAGTTCATTGTATGTATGTATATGTGAATAAAAATCACTAGGAATAGTGAGCTATCCATGCAGTATCAAGCTTGGATAATAATGAATGTCCTACAGCCAAAAGCACACACTTGGTGAAGAAACTGTTTAAATGTTTAGCAAAGATTTTGCAACAGGAAAAAGCAAATTTAGCAGTTGGAAGAGCAAAGGGGAGGAACTATAAATGAGGAAATGTGGCTTCCTTGAAAGCTGCAGGGAACTCAAGCCTGTGAGAAGAGCTTAAGAAGAAATATTTGCATATAACAAGCCCTGTCGGAGTAGTCAGATATTTTAGGCAGAATGGGCAACATATTATTACAATGTACTTCATTGTCATACAGATAGACAAGTTCCCATGTTTACTCTCAGGGAATATTTACATAGATTCGCTTCAGCTTGAAACATTCTTAAATCAAATCATTTTCTTTTGAATAAGAGCTATATATGGAAAGGCATTGAAAAAGCAAATAAGAAATTTGCAATTGTGCTGTAAATCGGTCTTCAGCTTCAAAAGAAAAGGAAAAAGAATCCCAAATCATTGTTTCTACAGAATATTCATAACATTGTGCTTTGTAAAGGAGGCAAAAGGAGTTCGTCATCTTGCAGATTTCTTTGAAATACACCGTATCTTGGTATATCCTGGCACTTCTGTTAGTGTCGTAACACCCCTAAGTGAAACGGGGTACTGTATGATAAAAAGGTAGCCTGCATGATAAGTGACACTGTGGTGTTACCTTTGTCCTTGATGTGAAAGATCATCATGCGCAAAGAATGTCAAGATAATATTTTCTGAATTCATATTAAAAAAGGTAAAACATTTGTGCTGAAAGATGACACACTGTTCCTTATGCGTTCTTGCAAATAATATGAATTTTTCTAACTCACGAAATATAGATTAGTGTAACAGACAGATAAACTTGCACTTTATAAAATTAACTTTTTTTGGGGTAGTGTATTTAATTATGTAACGTATTTCAAGAAACCCTTAGCGATCTAAAATGAAGGTTGAGTAACTCACCATGCAAATGACAGAAGGGTAGAACCTTTGCTCCGTCAAAGTATACAGCTGATTGCCCATTGACTTGAATCAGGCCAGAGTTAATCCAGGACTTTAAAACCATAGCTGAATGCTGATTCTTGTGCTTGCAGAACTATCAATACAAGATTTAATTACATGACCATCTGACCTTCTTTTTGTAATAAAATACTATTTGGTATCTTATTCCTGCTTGTCAATCCAAAGAGATTAATTTGTTAGGCTGTGCTTCTAGTCATGAAGGTTTCATTCTAGTGTACCTACAGTGTGAGCACACGGTGAGTGGGTGTAAATACGGTACAGGTAGGGGATGGCAGCCTTATTTCAGTCCAGGTAAGATTTCAGAAGTTCAGATCAGCAACCCATGTGGTGATCCTGGCTATTGTACCTTCTAACCTGGGGCCTTTTATCCCAGTGTATCTTGCTTGCTTGTGGATGTGCCATGCTGCTTAGTATAGCTCTTAACTGAGCCACAGAGGCATGAGAGAAAAAGGTGCATATGCTAAAATGATGCACCATCCAGCAATATTGAAATTTTATGTTTCAAAGTTATTAATTGAGCTCTATGATGATTAAAAATAACTTTTTGAATCTGCCCAATTATGTGAACAGTCAATCTCAAAATAAGTATATTCAAAAAGCAGTCGGAAGTAAAGACTGTGGTAGACAGCTATTGTCAGATTTTTCTCCTAAATGAGTGTCATTAATTTTATACTACTGCAGGTGGCTACTTAATAATTTATAACCTGGGTAATTTCAAGTGTTCTTGGATCAGAATTATCTGAGTAATGTCTGGCCGTATTAGAGTTCAGCCTCCTTTAAAGTACGTACGCACAAGGCTAGCTCTTTTTTTTTTAAGCTGTGAAAGCGTTTACTCTCTTTTGCATCCCTAAAAAGCAACTGGACAGATTTTCCCAAAACTTTCCAGAGCATTTCACCATGGCTTGAATGCAACTGTGCCTAGGTATGCCTCAGGGAAGATGTTGGGGAGGAGAGTTACAAGCAGAGGGCCAGAAAAGGGAAGCTCTAGACCCCAACTATAGCTCCACAGAAGTCCATGCAGTTGAAAGAGAACTGCCATAACGTCTGGACACCCACCTTTGCTTTGCCCCTGGCCTGTGCTTTGTACTTCAAAACCATGCTACATGGCTCCAGGCTGTCCATGGGAGCTGGCATTCTGCGGGGATCATATTGCTGTTGTCATTTAGTAGTGTGGGGTTTCTGCTGTCTCCAGCAAACAGAAGCTGGGACTAAACATAGCCTATTGTATAGCAGAGAGAGAAATTAGGCGGCGGAGGAGGAAAGAAGTAAGGAATTGGGAAAAAGAGGCAGTGCAGGTGAGAAGCTTTGAGTTCTGTTGTAAGATTGTATGTTGAAAGAGGGAATGACACAGTGTTGTCCTCACACAGGGTTTCATCACAAGACTTAAAATTGTAGGTGTTTCTCTTAAATCCCTGTTGCTGGGAGTCATCTAATGACTTCAGCATCTTAACTTTCATTTAAAAGTGTAAGTGATTTCCTAACCATAGTCCTTCATCCTCAAAAAAAAACCCAAAAAACCCAAAACCAAACAACAGAGGAAAAAAGCCACGGAAGACTTTTTTCAAGATACAATTTTGAGTCTGATCTCTTATGATTTGTGTTTTGCAAGCAAGACATTAGCAATGCTGGCGGTAGTGTGAGTAAAAAGGAGATCAGAGGAAGTGAGTAAGTGAGAAAGTCTTTGAGGGAGGCTGGAATTACTGGATAGGAGAAGGTACAGAGAGCATGGAGGGAAATATTTAGCTTCATCCTGAAGGTGTGTTGTCACTTAGAAAGAGGTAACTCTATGTGCTGGAAGACCTGGCTTTCCACACGCCTGTAAAGGGTGAGTTCCAGATGTTAAGGTGGGAGAAGATAAATAACACAATCATAGTGGAGCCAAAGCAGCAGTGCTGTTCTGCTAAATGAAAGGGGGAATATTTCGAGGGAGATTTCTGAGGACCAGTGACAATGCCACTTGGAGGCAGAGAACTGTCAGCAGCACCAAGGGATAAAGAACATCCAGGCAGTTTAAGGATGCATTTGTGAAGAGGGGAAATGCTTCGTTCTTCCTTATTCAGGGATTTAATTGAAGGCAGTTGGAAAGGTGCTATAAATTTAGCTTGAACATATCCATCATCTGGGATGGTAGTGCAGGCTTAGATATTATAAGGATTATTCCTACTTTCAGTCAAAAGAATGATCTGTCACATCCTACATCTTACCCAGGAAATTGCTTTATAATTAGATATCTCAGATGAAACTGGAAATCCCAAACATGCCCCAAAAGGCTTTGTGTGATATCTGTAAAATATTCCAATGCCTGTGGTGATAAATTTCCGTTGAAAGGTCTCCCTGGAAGGGAGATCACAGCATTATTGCAGGGTGCTGGGGAGGTCTATGGGAGTATGTTATCTCAGAGACCCTCGCATTTCCATCTGGCATTGCAACCTGGACCAAATTTCGGTAGACTCAGTACATCCCTAAGAAAATTCCCAGGCATGGAGCTGCATTTTCAGGGAGAAGCAAACTCCAGAGAGGGACAGGTGGGGCAGGATCCCAGGACAAGTATCAGTGGGAGTCCATAAAATGAAAATAGATATGAAGCCCTTAAAGACAAAGAGGGAGGAATAAGGAAAGTTAGGAGCCATCAGATAATTTGGCTGAGCCATTTTCATAATCCAAGCCCGAGGTACTGTAAGTTTAATTGAAGAACTCCCTGGGACATGGAAAAGGGGACAAGGAGGCAGTGGGATATACTTTGGGGTGGGACTTACTGATACCACTAAATCAATTAAATAAAAATTGCGTTTTATAACCTCACAGTCAGATACTATTCAAGTATTGTTTAAGTATCCTCCCTATAGAGATAGTAATAGTAATAATACCGTACATACATGTACCACACTCAGCGGAACAGCGGAGCAAGCATTTTATAGGTCCTTTTAAATGATAAAGTACAAAGAAAGTTAGAAACCACTAACTTTTTTATTTTGTTTGCTGTCTTGTAACTTAAAACGACCTTGCAGGATTCACCCCCCAAGCGACATTTTACAACGAAGTCATAAGCCTCTGAAAACAGAAATTTATGATGGAAATGCTGACAGTCAGACAGTCAAGTATTGCACTGCTGGCGGGCACCAGTATAATGCTTAACCTGAGACTGTGAAGACAGTAGCATAAATCAGCCTGGGTCTAGGTGGAAATGACTGTTTGTTCTTACTGTTCTTTTCCTGTAACATGAGAAAATTTGTCCAACACAAACTGTCATAAAAGAATGTTATGATGCTGTTCCCAGCAAATGACCAAAGTCAAGAGATTCTCAATTAGCTGTCTCTTATCATCTCAGAGCAAAAGGCAATATCAAGCAGATGCTTCTGTCACTTTGTTACAGAGCTGGGGAGTCTGAAGTGAGTCATGTACCCACTTTGTCCTTTGGAGTTTGGGCATCATCCTTATCTTTTCCGTACCTTGTTCTTCTGGAAGAGCTTCCAATGGGATGCTTTTCTTTGCATGCGTATGTTTTTTATTAAAATTATCTCCTGTTTGTCTGCATTTTCCATGTCTTAATTTCAATCTTTGGAAACAGTATTCAACTCAGCAACTGAAAGAGAGCAACAGAAAATGGGAAACAAGATTTTGAGCCCCCACAGGAACATTATTCTATTTATAGAATTTTTGCATGGATTTCAGCAGAAATGAGTGTGCTCCAGTTTCCACTGAATCGAAACAAGAGAGCCAAGCCTTTCATTTATATGGTCTTTTCCTCAAAGGAAGCTGTGCATCGTTCAGGGTTTTTCAGGATAACATAGGTGTCATTTAGTTATATTGGATTTCCTCTGAAACAAAGGAGTTTCTCAATGGAGAGCACTAGTTCTGTGCAGAAATGCTCACTCAGGCAGCTCAAAATGGTCACCTTGGCATAATGGGTGATGCTGCAAGGTGTGGACCATCTCACCAGAAAAGAGGAGTCCATCCTGTCCTCACTGGAGTGGTTTCTGCAGATTTTGTATATTCATCTGAGACAATTTCCTGTTATTCATGCAAACAGGACTGAACATGAAGAGTATACAGGCAAGACATGTTGGGAAAAGATATAATTTATGAGGGCTGAGGAGAACTTGTCAAAATTGATATCTCTTCCTAGGCTGTAAATGATAAAGGGAACGTTTTTCCCAGCATAAAATGGATTCAAACCAAAAAAGCACAAACATCTCAAAGCAATCTCTTGCCAGCTGAAAAGCTCGGGATATAAGATATCTAAGTCAGTTTCAGGAGAGAGGAAAATCACAGGTTGCCGCTGTATCAGGGTCTTAGAATGCCTGGAATTAAATTAGCAAAATAAATCACATTGGTGAACATATTGCCATAGAAGGATGAAGAGAACATAAGGAGGTACTAAGAAAGCTCATACTAATCAAACCTATCTTGCAACTTTATCGTATTTAAGATGTTAAGATCATTTTCCCTGACCTCTTTTATGTCACAGGCAGTTGAAGTACTCCCAGTTACCCGATATTGAGATAATAGTTGTCTTTCACTAAAATACAACTTTGAGAAGTGATTGAAGACATCAACCAGAAAAAAAAAAAAAAAAAAAAAAAAAAAAAAAAGCCACCTCTTTTCTATCTAATGTGTGCCAGTGGACCATTCTCCTTGCAATTAAGTGTTTCTGCCTTTCTGCCTAATTTCTCTTTCAAATTTATCTGGTTCTTGTCAGAACTTTCTCAGCAAGATTAAAGTACTTAGTACCTAGTTTATTCTCCCCACAAAGGTACTTAGGCAGTGCTGTCAGACTGCCCCTCTAGTCATCTTTTTGATATGCTAAAGAAACTGAGTTCTCTGGTGTGTATTCCAAATATGGCCTCAGTTCTCTGGACTCCTTCACTGTATAGTATTGCTACTACCTACCAACTTCCATTTTTGCAAAATGCCTTAAATAGTAAAGAAACATTGCCACCCAAGATTTATTATTCCGGCTCTTACAAGAAAACAACAATGTTCATATGCTGATCATAACATAAATTTGGTAGTAACAGTTTATTCTTTAAATATTTACTCTGGATATAAAAAATATAGTCCTGATTCTCATTTACATTAGTATTATTATTAAGCAAAGTGACTATAGGGTATATGTAAACCAAACCCACATTTTACCACTAACTGATAATTACATGGTACTGAATATTTCTCATGTAATAATTATGTAATTGTTATGTTATTCCTTGTACATAAATTTTATTAGGTTGTTTCTTGACACTGCATCAATCTTTATAATAAGCATGTATAAGAGCTTTAGTTTTAAAAAAAACTTTTTTTTTTCATGGTAAATGTTCCCTAGTGCTTGTAACAAAACATAATGAGTACTTTGGAGCCACAATGGTCTGTGGAGAGAGTAATGTACCATTTTTTAAATGATCTAAAATAAATATTTAATAGCAAGACATGAACTTCAAATTATTTGGTTGTGATACTTGCTTAAGCACCCCCCATTTTCTGTTTTTTTTTTACTAATTGAATTGAAATTTGCAAACTGTGGGTGGAAAAAGAAGATAAAAAGTCTTCCTTTTCAGATTTTTTTAAATTCACTTCCTTTCCAATCAGGTAGGCTATAAACACTCTAATTACTCGTATTTGTGAACTTTACGACTTAGTCTTCAGAACCTGGAGATATATGGACACAGGTGAAAAATACCAAAGATATTCTACAACAGAGGAGTGCCTCAGCTTTTTGAAGAAAAAGTAGGTAGAATTTATTAGTGTGGACCTAAGCAAAGTGTATTTTTATTGGTCTTCTTCCCAGGTATGGCTAGTCTTCATGGCTGGAACAAGAAGAAAAAGAGGAATATCTGAATTGATGTGTGCAGATAGGTTCAGCTCATGGGTGGGCACCTGCCATAGACATTGCCACCTAAGTGGTTGGTGTTGATCAGAGTTTTCACTAAACTGAAACCAGGGTCTTGTGATGGCAAGGATCAGACCACTTTAGCAATAAGCCTGGTTATTCTATTCTCATTCTTCATAGTCAGTCAGTGAGCTAATCATCCTGAAGAATGAAATTCGAAAACATTATTTTTGGAGGTGTCCCTGCCATGGCAGGGAGGTTGGAACTAGATGATCTTTGAGGTCCCTTCCAACCCAAACCATTCTATGATTCTATGATTTCTAAAGAATAGGTATTGTGGACAAGCGTAAATTACAATTCGTACTTAGGTGGCCACGGGATAGATGCTGCCCTGATTAGTTAGCAGCTGCCTGGCCAGCCTCGGCATGGCCAGAAGGAAGGTCTACCCCACAGGCACACGTTGCAGAAAGCACCTGGGGACTCAGATAGGGGAGAAGAAGGATGGATGCAGTTGTTACTCAGCAACACATCTGAAGAGAACACGTATAGACGGCTTTGTCTATTGTGCTGCCTTTTCAAACTGAGTCGATAATGCCAGTGTCGGTTTCAAGCAAAGCGTGTGCCAGATTACAGATAGCTAGCAATGGCATTTGAGAGCCGTTAATTGTGAAACTTGAGAAGAAAATGTGCACATTCTTTTTCAGAGTGCTATTCGAATGATGGCCTTTTTATCCGAGAACACTGTGGGTTTCACTTTTATTCTCTTCCCACATAAAATGCATGAAGTGCACTGAGTCTCTTTTGCTTGGCAGCTTATATATTGCATTCTTTGCAGGGACTGCTTTGGCTTGTTAAAATGTACCCCATGTATTAAAATGAAATTGTCACTGCTGCGTGGTGCAACATAACATGGTTTGACACCAAGTGCCTGCAGCTACAGAAAACAGACTTTTATTGCATTTATTCTTTCAGAGACAAGAGTCTCTAAAGACTCAGTGCAGACATTCACTTAGTTAAATCTGAATGAAGCCAAAGTGAACAATCTAAGTTGCTGTCTATGTGTTTGTAAAAATGGCCCAGCCCACATGATATGCAGTGATAAAGTCTGGAAGGGACAATTTTTAATAATTCCACCTGAAACAAACTGATGAAAGAGTTTGACTTGCTCAGAGAATTAATCAGGCAATCAGGATTTGTATTTTTTTATCAGTGGTGGTGGGGTGGTCCTTTGAACTCTGGCAAACTTGTATCCTGGGAAACAAACTGCTGTTCTATTTCCCAAAAACATGGGACAGGAAAGGTGGTGGATAAATTCATTTAAAAAAGATCTAGACTGGTGAGAAGTAAGCTATATGTCTATCAGTGGAGTTATTTTGGAGAGAGTACCTGGAGGTAAGCACTGTTGTATGGAAGGAGCACTGAGCATGTATTTTAAACAGAATTTTTCTAAGAAAAACAAAAGCAGTATGGTTTTTCTTTTTGCTTGCTTATTAGCTTTCCATTTTTTTCTTTCCTTTCTTCAAAGTTTCTATACCCACTCTGTAGCAAAGTCAATTGTTCTCTGGACTAGTGAGCAGTCAATTTACAAGACCTCAAGGAATGGTGGATTCCCAGATATGGTGTAGCTGTGGTTTGGGATTTGACTAGTCGCTTTGCGTTCTTTACAGTTCCTTCAATAATATATGTACCAGTTCACTGCTAATGCTTTAATGTCTCAATGCTGAAAGTTATCTTGTAGTCGTATGAGATGAACAGTAAGACATTTCACTTACCAGTATTACATGTAAATTTCTGTCTTCACCCAAAATTTGGCTATGTGTTGTATAGGCATACGTGCATTGTCTGTGGTTTTGCTACACAGTCGGTCTTTGCAGGTTATTTTTTTAACACTGTAATCCTTAATAATTGTTGCTTAATCCTCTGGATTCTTCTCCAAATCCTGTTTGTTTGTTTGTTTTCATGCTATTTGATGTTATTTTGGGTGCATAAGGAATCTAGAAGCACATCCTTTGCCTTTCCAAGCAGCACATGAGAACATAAAGGATGTCCCTGTTCAGGGTGATCCCCTGGAGCCAAAAGGGGACTGTTCATTGACGCTGCTGCAGCTCACGCACAGCTGGGCACAGCTGCAGGCTTTGAGAGTGGCAGGTCCTTCTCACAAGCCACACCATACCATAATAAGCTCAACCAGTTTCTCTGCAGAAATCAGCAATAACAGCTTTGAAGATTTCTCTCAGCGACTGTGCTTGTCCTTTGCTTCTCCTTTTGTATTTTTTTTTTTTCTGACTGAGAGCTTTCATAACAGTCTAGTAACACGTCTTGCCTCTACCCCCATCCCACTCTCTTTTCCAGAATGGAGTCTACAGAAAAATGTGAAGTAGTAATTCAACATTTTAATGGCAAATATCTGAAAACCCCACCCGGTCTACCAGGTAAGTCTGGCCATCATTATGAAATTTAAAATTCACTGAAGAGTTTAAAATACAGAAATGCTGGAATTCATGTTGAGAGAGGCTTATATTACTGGCCCTGCTAAGAGGGCATACAACTTCCCTGGGTGAAGCCTATCCTTTATGACTTATAGCAACTTCTTCCTTGCCCAATTTTGTATTATTCAAGCATTTATGCCTGACAGCAGCAAATTTAAGTACATATAAAAATCATGTTGTCACACTGTGTTTGTTTCTTTTAAATGCATATACTGTGTGTGACTTTTTTCCAATTAGAGCAGAGGCCACATAAGTAAATGCCCATGCTTTTCTAACAAACTAGTAATATAACTAGATCAGTAACTACATTATAGGGTAAAAAAGCCAGGATTTCAGGTTATAGTAACTTTTTAATCTTTACAGTTACTTCTTAGTGTTATTAGTTACTGTTACTAGTATTAACAGCAACAGCTGTTAATACTGACTGAGGATATTTCAAATATGAAGTGATTTTGGACCATTTGTACTTGCCATAACGTAATGAAATCCTGCCGTTTTCTGACAGTACCCGTAGAATACATTCATTGGCATGTCTATGCCACATTGAAAGCCAAGTTCCAACCAGTATCTTGTTTTTGAAATCTTCAGCTGTCATCTATGTGGCCATCAACTGTTCAAAGTTTAGAAGAATCAGTTGCCTGATTCTTAGTGCTTGACAAGACCTCCCCGAGGCCACAGATCTGCAAAGATTTCTCACTCAGATTGTCTGAAGAGCTATGTTCAATGAACAGGAAAACCTTGCAAGAATTGTCTCCCAAGTTATTCTCTTTTTCTTTTTAACTTCCATTAAACTATTTCCTTTTTTGGTTACTTTCATTAAATTGCTCCTTATTCTTTGCCTGGTTCTTTATGCAGAAGATACACTAAATACTCTAATTAAAAGAGAGCCATCTGCACAGCTAGTGTGTGCAGTAATTGAGTGCTGCAATGTACATGTAAATTTTAGTCAGATCACCTTCATGAAAGAGTATAAAACTTTTAGTACAAGCTGCAAGACTCCATTTTATGTATTTCTTTTTCAAAAGTAGTCACTGACAATTTTTCTCAACAACAACTAATGAAGTATACCACCAACTTTGTGAAGTACAACAGACTCGGTCTGTGTAGAGCAATGGGCAAAGCATCATAGGCAGAGACCTTAAACCTTTGGCATGCCTTTCTGTATGCATACACTGAATTCCAGTAGTAA